GGAGAACTCATAAAGAGGCACCTGCTTGGGAAAATCGACGAGCTGCAGCCAGGGATGACTACCAGACTAGGTCATGCGTCGTACCTCCCCCCCCCCAAGATTGTTCTGGAATTTATTGAATACACAGGGATAATGAGGGAGTAAAATACGAGGGCGCAATGGGGCAAAAATGACCGCGATGCAAGGCAAAACACCACCTTGGCGGTATGGAAAGGGTTTTAGTGGGTAAATAGCTTAGCTGGAGTCCCACACAACCCAGAGCGACAGACCACCAGCTCTAGGAGTGCATAAAAGAGCATTTACCAAACCTCACCGAAAAAAAAACAAGGTACTAAAATCCTGTTGGTTGATACTACTAAAAGCTGGTTCTAACAGCGTTCGCTGAACGAAGGAATCAGGATCGGTTCTGCACAGATCCTGAACCGAGCCTGCATTCTAATCCGGTTCGTTATAGCTTCGAGCCGATCCTGAATCGCTACCGCGAATAAAGCAATTATTTCATGTCATTTTCGTCAAATTTCTGCGTAAGGTCGAATGCAGGCAGGAATTTATTGATGGTCGGTTTGAGGCAAGGCAGGGCATTTCCAAGTTGAACATAGAGTGTTATTGATATAACATTAAGCCGTCAATTAATGTTTGTCTATCTATGTGACTATGTGGTTTTCTTGTAAAGCAAAATTTTGATTCGAGAGGTGCAAAATTAAAAATATTATACTTTTTTAAATTACTAACATATTTTCGTCCTCGCCTCAGATTCATAATTTGCCAAAACGTTCTTTTATGTAAATAATATACGATTGGCCCGAAGCTGACTTGGCTGCGTGACTATTGGAATACATACTAATAAACTCTTATTTTTTGGACTTTTCTATTAATTTGGACGCAAACGGCAACGGCGAACGCAAACGTCAAGTTTATAAATGGGCTTTTACTCTTACATATAACAAAAAAAACGTAATTTTTGGCTCATTTTATAACTTCTAGAGGTTATCGTACTTTTAGGTTGATGCTAAATAAAAATGTTTTCCGTATAGTAAATTAATCATTATTTAAGGAAAACGCAAATTGTCTCAATATATTTATTTGCATCATTTGTAAATAATTTTCATAAACAAACTGTAAGCACAATATTTATATTCTGCAACGGAATTGATTTTGGTATTTTACAACTGTACAAAAACACATTACGTGTTTTAATATGTAATTAAAGGTTTTTTGCCATAGAGTTCGAATATTTCGGCCCAACCTGCCATTGTTCTTTCCTTCAAATGAGTGTTTAACTCTAGTGTAGTATTAATATTTAAATAAATTGAATTTTCCTCAGTATGTGGAGTCCAAATTACATTGTTGAATAGTGCAGATTCCTCCGGAGTTGGATTTCTAAAACCTTAACGTGTACTATTGATAATTTGGTCGCATATGGTAACTTACAAATATTTAGCAAAGTTGGTCCAGAGTTTGACGAGCCTATTCTGTACCAATAAATCTTCAGCTTGGGCCGATCGAGGCCAGTAAAATAGGTAAGGAAGATCGGAAGAATGGGCTACCTTTTCAGCACCTAAACATATAACACAGCATAGTGACACACCTTACTACCTTCCCGATAGCAATTCCAGAATTTTAAAACATTCCAAACAAATGATCATATAAATTCTGAAATCAAGCATTATAATATTTAATTCACTTACCATCAATGAAGGGCTCCATGACATGACGTGCTCCATAGTACGAGAACTGATAAAGATATACGGGTGTGTAAGCAGATTGAAGATCAGCATGCTTTAGTATTGCTCTTCCAAACAAACTGTCACTGTAAAGCTAGTAAAATTATGATATTAATAAATTGAGCAGGATTGCAAGGTTCCAATTGCATTAGTCAAAATTAGAAAAAATAGAAAATGTGTAGATAAGTGCTTTATTTTGTAAATTTAGTCTAAGAAGTCACGAAACAACTACAGGGTTATTTATTGAACTTTGGGCACCCCGTTTTTGCATTTAATTTGAAATTTAGAGAAGYGTTAAATACAAAAGTTTAAGATATTAACGTCTAGTTTATTTTAAGATAATACCAATTGATACGTGGTGTCTCAAATTCAAGTGACAGACCAAATTTAGSCTTTTTTAAATGGAATGCCGTACTTTTTATTRCATTTTCGAGCTATTCGTAAAAWTMTAGGCCTGCTSTATATAAATGTTTTATGTTGTTTTCAACTGTTTTTGAGTTAATAGCCAATATTGATTAAACWTAGCGAACTCCCMTWTRWTGGATCTAGACAATTCAGCCGGAGATTTTTGCATGATACAGCATATGGAGTCAAATMGGACGATATTTTGAAAAATTTTGCAACAGAGTGTAGCCAGATAATGGGGCAAGATAGGTCGTGAAAGCTCATTAACCTAGGACAATTTTGAAGTATCACGAGTGAAAAACAAAGTCAAMATTTTGCCTAAAAAGTTTAGTTCAGCTTTTTTGRGTTACCGAGGGATTTGCAGTTTTTGGAAACCATATTTTYGTGATTTTCGTRAAAAYTGTGAGAGCTGGAACGTAAAAGAAATACCGTTGGATAGTGCTCGATKAGCCCAAGAGTTTTATAAAGAATAACTTTTCAAAGCTTCGTGTTCGRAAAAAAATGTAAAATTTTGARAAAATCGCAAAGTGCACACCAACAGTGTTGGYAAAAAAATTTTGCAAGTATTCCYTGACAGTCGTTTAGATATGAAAAAGTTACATGACAAATCAACTTTGGTTGGTTCAAAAAAGAAATCMTCTGTGAGCTACAGGRGGAAAACGAAAAAGTTTATGCAGGCCCTTATGGAAGGRAAATTTCCAATATTGAATAAATAGTTTGAAAAAGTTTGAATAAAATTGTCAAACTGACATTAGAAGTGGTTGAAATGAACACCAATTAGTAGATACTGAGACAAATACGAATCAACTACATGTCAAATCGATTCGGTAAAGTGGAAAAAAAATCGATTCGGTAAAGTTGAAAAAAAAATGCATTTAACTCCAAGTAATCGGTAAATTGTGGTACCGAGCAACTAATATGCTTCCCAAAAATCAGAAAATGATGACGAACGTATTCTAGTTCGACCGAAACATAGCTAATAGATGTGGTTAATTATTTTTTAATGCGATGATGAGAAACTAYAAGTTTCCGATTTTAGCCAGACCAACRAATCGAAAAAATGTGCGAGAATTTTTGACTTGCCTTGTTCATGTTTTTTTGTAGGTAAACAAAATGYTTTTATATCGAAATATGCAACGAATTATTCCAGTGAGCTGGCGAKGAGATAGATCGATAGAGGGATAACRAAGCCTTAMAATTCCGTGAAATCGATTGCAACAGGATAAATGGTTGACCTTGAAGATTGGAGTTAAAGCTGGAAATCGATTTTGAGTATCAAACATTAGGGTTCAATTTGGCATTGGATATTGTCGAAAATATAAAAAAATATATTGAAAATATAAATTAGCTCAAATATGCAAATAAAAGTACATTATTCTATTAATAATTCCAATTAGATGTTAAAACGGGGTGGCCAAAGTTCAATCAATAACCCTGTACTTCTAAATAAATGACAGGAAAAATAATTATGGAACTCATATTTAGTTATTATTATAGAACCTATTTATAGAACCATATAAAGATTTACAATTCTGCAGCAATAGCACAAGTGAAAAATGTTTGAATAATTTTTAATTCTACTGACTGCAGTCAGAGCTATACATTTTCTACTTTTTGATTAAATTTGGAAGTTTTACTATGCTTAGCTGCAACTCAAGAAAAATATTTGAATGTAGACTGTGATTTTGGCGACAAAAAAATCGGTATTTTGAAATTATAATTATAGTAGCTTTCACATTAGATATTAAATTGCTTTAATATTTACTCAGGCATCTAAATTCTAATCTTTTGAGTATTTAGAATGTGCTATGAGCTACTTCAAAATTATGTAATGCTGTAATGTATGTAATTATCCCCTATCAAAAAAATTACGTATATTTTACCAACACAGAATACAATGAAATATAATGGATTTATATGATCTTACGATTCCACTGGTTTTCTTCCTAGGATTGGTTTATGCTTTTTCGAACTACTGAGTTATTTTGAAATTCTTACAAAAATACCACAATGAACGCCAATACTTACAGGCAACATTTATTGAATTTATTTGTGAGGAAGTAAACGGACAATTTTATTTGCTGATAGCGACTTCAATGATGGAATATAATTTGAAAGCGAAAACTTGTCAAAAAGATAAAGTGACCAAGTTCAAAATTGCCGTATTTGTGTTTGTTGACCAAGTAATATAAAAAAATTGTATATGTATTCCAAAATTTCCAAAAGGTGATATAATATTAGCTCGGTTTACAAGTGAATTTTCCAAAAATTTATATTTTGGACTTGCTTAGTTCTAGCTTTAGGGCCACAAGATGTTCCTTAAATGGTTTTTATTTGATATCTATATTGACTGAATGTATAATGTACATAGATTTTCCAGGAATATAACAATGAATGTTGCAAATGCATTTAATCTATGAAAGGAGAAGTTTTCGTAACGAATTCTGGAAAAGAGCAAGTAGTTAACGTTTTTTTTTTTCAATTTTGTAAGACCGTTTTGTTGATTCCTATTGAGTATATTTAATAAAATATAAATATAGTTTTCTGATCTGAATGTAGAAATTCAGTCTTTTGTTGTCCATTAAATTAGAAAAATTCTCGTTAGTTGTTAAAAACCCATGT